GAAATATCACATTACGAACTCGGCTGTAAACAAGCGTATCATAGAACAGCAAAACTGCTCGGGATTTACTGTATCTTTTAAACTAACGAGATATAAATCAATACTTCGTAGATAAATGAAGCCCGTGGATGTCTCATACAGCGCGCAATCGCACGAAACTCAGAATTATCGACTCTTCAAGTCAAACAACTCTTCAAGTCTGCCGCTTATTACTCATCTGAGTATTTGGGATAGCGGAAAGTTTTCTGTTAAAGGCGAAGAGATCTCAAGCCCGATCGACAGCTCTTCTACATACGAACTACTCTAAACATTCGTGTCATAGAACAACAATATCTGCCCGGGATTTACTGTAGTTTTTTAGTAATTCTTTGATATTCGAGGCCTTTTTGTATTCAAAAACATTCATCTGTGTAAGAGCATGTATTAGGACATTGGTTTAGGTCATAAAGGTTGTTGTATCGAGCCAAATGAGTTCATTTTCCTTGGCGAGATATAAACCGAGACTTCGTAGCTGACTACGTGGCTGTCTGATTCTGAATTGCATAGCCTATTTTCTAATTTGATGAGGGATTCTGTCTCTTTTRGTTAAAGAAAACAATGCTATTCACAGATGARTATTCCTAGTGAAGATCATTGAAGCGAGAGCATGGTTATAGAGGACCATAGAGCGGGGCATTCCTGTTTGCGAAGATCGCTCGCCACACGGCGCCGAGCTGTCTGATTTTGATACTGTAGTATACTTGACCTTTAAATTACTGCAATATTCTTACTATGTTTCACGCGAAAGACTATCAGAGTTAACGATTTGATTCTACGCTTTTAAAGATTTGTCAAAAATTATTGCATATCTAGTTCCTTCAAAAGCTGCTAAATATTACATGAAAAGTAATAAACAAAACAAGGAATTACTTTCACAAATTTGTTCTCTTAATATAGTTCGATTTCAAATCACTTTGTGATTTATCAATATAGATGAACTGCATGCCTTTGGTAGCACTGTTCTTTACATCTAAACCAGACCCTCCTTAGAGCATCAACTCGGTCGAACTATTTTTGAAAATTGAGGAAGACAGTATATTACATGCCCCTGGTGGTTGGTCAAACCACAGGGGGCCCAGGCTCAACGGTTGTGTTGCTTTCACGGCGGTGTCAAAGTATTAATTACGGGGTTCGCGGTTCGAGCCCTCATGAAGCCGTAATTTTTTTCTACTTCATTTCTTGAGACTTTTCAAGACTTTTTCTTTCTTTTCTTTTTTCTTTAATAAGTATAAACAGCTTTATGAATAAAGATTGATTTTTAAAGCCATTTTAATATTTTTCCCCCCTCGTAAATAAAAATAGATAAAAAATATTGTGAGCGTAGTAACGTGAGCGTAGCTTTTGCTTCTATTGCTTCTCAAGTGGTTTTCAACTCCCACCGTGTTTATATCAAGACAGAGACACAAGCGGCCGTTTTACAATTCTTATTATATAATTTTTCTGCGTTTTTCGAGCGAAACAAATTTTGCTAGTAATCCTTGTGTCTGTCCTCTGATACATGTAAACATGGTCATCAGTGATTCAGAGCGCACTTTATATATCAAACATTTATAATGACTAATAAATCAGTAATCCTAGTCATTCAGTAAATCAACAGTCCCATTAACTGATCCACAATAATTATTATTTCAAAATAGGTTTCCTTTTTTGCCTTGCAAAGGATACAGATACATTGATATGATCCAACACACAAAAAACACTAACTAGTAAAAATTAACCAAATTAATCTAGAGATATACTACATCAAATGTTTAAAAGACAGTTATTCTATTCACAAAAGTTTTCTTGATGCATTCTGTAATTAAGTTATGAGTTTCCACTATTAAATAATACATGTATAATTGTACTCATGTAGCTTATGGGAATGTAGCTCTATCAGGGGACAAAACAATATTTGTGCTAATATTTAAATATGTAGCTCTTCACACCAGAACTTGATAAAATTTATATCCATTTCATATTTTTTTTTAAATCTTGTTGTTCTTATTGTAACCATCTTTATTGCTCCATAGCTCATAGGGTACAATAAATTAATATAGATATATATAAATAGATAAATATTTTTTTTCAGAGTAACTCAAACATCAAGTTGGAGAAGTGCAGTGCAAAAATGATAGGATCTAGGTGTCAAAATAATTGAAATTGATTTGGCTCTCAAGAGGTTACAATCCCCCCCCCCCCCCACCAAGATAAAGCTTCTTAAATATCACATGGTTCACATCTTAAATATTACTCTGTCGATATTGACCTAATTATATTCATATTTTTCATTTTTAGGTGGAAAGTCTGTTGACCTCTTCTTAGTCATATCTTGCAAGAAAGAAAATCTTTCAGAAGATAAAGTTAGAGAATTAAAAGATGCAATTGAACAAGGTGCCTTTAAGTCTTTTGTCAAAACCTCAGCTGAACATTCAACCATACAAGACCAACCCTGCATTTCTTATCTACAATCAAGTGAAAATGAATCTGACGCAGATACAACAGTTGTACGATTTCAGTTTCCCAAGGACCAGAAGGAGAAATTCATTACAGACAAGTTACAGAAGTGTGCCCTTAACAAAGATAAGTGGTTGATTGACAGTGGAGTTGTCCAGCTTAAAGTGAATGGCCAGTCGTCAATCAATTTAAAGGAATCATTGGAATTTAAGATGAAGGATGTTGAAGATGATTTCTATTTAGGTGAGCTTGTAATGTTATTGTTTTCAACATTTTTTTAAATTCAATAGTCTATTTGGCTAGAAAAGGCACTATCAACTATCAAATTACATAGTGAGAACTAGCGGTAAACTAGTGTGAGCTGCGTCGGTGTTTCTAAAGAAACAGTTATGTAAAAAGATAAATTTAACACCGTAAAAAAGTACAGTATGTGAAATAACTTACTGACGTTTCGGACATTAATCCTTCCACTTTTACTCCGACGAAGGATTAACGTCCGAAACGTCAGTAAGTTATTTCACATACTTTTTTACGGTGTTAAATTTATCTTTTTACATAACTGTATCAAATTACATGTACCACTGTATACTAGTAATGAAAATCTTGCTGTAAGAGCATGAAATAGAGCTGTAAATTCAGCTGTATAAGACCCTAGAATTTTTCAAGTCTACCTGGACAACCTCTTGTACAATTTGGAATAGAACTAATCGGCTAACCCGTTGCTATGTACGTTACCACAAAATTCAAATCCTGCGGGAAAAAGAACAATGGTTGCTAAGAATTCAACTGTGAAATGAAAATACAACGAACAATGAAACTTACTTCTGGTTGGTTTGAATTGGGTGGATATATTTATAGCAACGTGTAAGCCTATTAGGCTCAACTTGGGGGAAATGCAAATTTTCAAGGCTATTGTACAGTAATAACAACATTTTCTCATCCTCTCTTTTTTGTAACCTAAAATTTACTATTAAAAGTATATTGGGTTTTACTGTAAACCTAATGATTTTCTGGTAATTGTTGTCCACAGCAAGAAAGCCAGAACTTCAATACCATACCAAAAATGTTGTTGATATCATTCTGGTTGTGGAAATGCCTCACTCTGTCATACCACATGCTTGTAAGGAAGTCATGAATGTGTGTCAGTCTGCTGTGAATGACCTCTCAAAGACTAGTGACTTTGACGTAAACTTGGCAATCATTCAGTATGGCAACCATACTGACTCAACATCGAACCATGTCCATGTTGTGCAAGGTTTTTGCAAAGAGTTTGATGTGAAATCAAAGCTTATAAGTATTGGCCAGTGTGGATCAAAGCGTGGTGGGAATTCTGGCATGGCAGATGCTTTGGACAAGGTGGCTGAACTTGCAGAGAGTAGTTCAGCCCGCCCAAATGCCTCTAAATGCTGTATTTTGATAAGTAAGTATTTGTCTAGATGCTAAAACAATGTAGAGTTAAAACAAAACAAAACAACACAACACAATAGAACACAACAACACAACAAAGCAAAGCAAAACAATAAAACAAAACAAAAGCGACAAAACAACAAAACAGAACAGAACAAAGCAAAACAACAACAACAACAACAAAACAGAACAGAACAAAGCAAAACAACAAAGCAAAGCAAAACAAAACAAAGAAAAAAACAAACAAACTAACAAACTAAAGCTAAGACCTTATGAAATTCGTCTGCTGTGTATTTCTTGTCTCCTATTATATGGACGATTTGTCTTTTGAATTTCTTCTAAATTGACAAATCATATCTTCATGCTTCCAAAATCAATAAAAAGCATGAATTAGCGAATTTGAATGAAACAAACAAACAAATAAACAAAAATTAAGTAGAGGAGGTCAGTTGTTGAGTGTCACGATCTCTTTTACGCCATGTTAGCATCAATTGTGTGCAAAATATTCAGAAATTTAGATTTCAAACTATTTCCGATTGTCTTCTATACTCACGTATCTTTTGCATTTGCACACACTGTTAGTGAATAAAAGAATTTATTACATGGTTTTGAGGCTAACATAGCGTAAAAGAGATCGCTAAAAGGGTTTATTGACATCGCGATGTTTGCTTTACAGCCTTTCCTACAAAAACCAAGAATCTGGACCATTATAGGAGTTATAATCAATGTGATATCGTTAAAGTCACCAACATTCTGGCCAGTTGTCAAATTCCACTCTACATCATTGGCGCAGATGATAAAAAACACACCCTACCAGGTCCAAGTCTTTACTTTGAAGAGTTGTTCTTGTCTGGAGTTTCTCATATTGGAGGTGGACGGTATATCAGTATTATATATGAAGGAGAAACTGCTATCAAGGTATGTTTTTGCTTTTTTTCTTCTGGAAGGCGTTGCACAAAATGTGAATAGCCTTATCCAACTTATAAATTCTTTTATCATATAATTAACTGTGAAATACCCATATTTCTTAGTAATAAAATGAAATAAAATTTAGATTTTATTTCATGGTCGTAGTATAAGCGCTGTATTGGATTTGTATCAACTTGCTACCCTGCAATCCAGTGCTTTTCTTCGATCCTTTTTCTTTTAATTCTACCTCTTTCTTTCCCTCGCACACTTCCTCCCTCCCTCCTGTCTCCCTTCCTTCCTTGCCTCCTTGCCTCCCCTCTTCTCTTTCTTCCATCCTTCATTCCTGCCCTACCACTCCACTTCCCTCCTTTTTAGTTTAGTCTTTGAACATTTTCTAAGTTCTTCTCTACATAATATCCTACCCCTAGTGGTAGAGGCAAAATCCTTTGTTTTCAATCCTCCAGGGAAAAGAAAACAAAACAGTTAACCATTCCACGTAGGGGCACCCTATCTCATGTAAACAGGGTCTAAGAGACCTGCATGTGTACATTCATATATTTGGCCGTTCGGATAATGCTTCTCATTTTATCGCATTGCAAGGTCGAGATCATGTAATTATGTCGTGCCTTTTTCATAAATATTATTGATGTTACGTTGAGGAATAAAGTTGTTCTTGTTTTAGCTTATTGGTGATATCGTAAAGCACGAGGTGTCCATTGAAAACGAGGAAGAAACTGTTGGTGAGCTCGTGAAGGATGCCCTAAACCACCATTTTGGGGACACGAACGAAAAGCGACTCGCCGAAGATGTCCTGGGGAATAGTCGTTTCAATTCGTCCATGTACGTGCAACTACTGCAAAATGGTCGATCTTTGGAGCTGATAGACCAGGTCGCCAATCGGATCGTTTACGCTGATGATCTTGATGATGCAATCGAAGCATTGGAAGACATGAAAAAGAAGCAAAGAGAGCAAGCTGTTGGAAATACAAGAGGTTCCGCAGCGGCCCCAATGCTGCTGAAGTTCCCTGCGATGTATGGAGATGAATTTTGCTCTGGGAGTATACATGACGTGAAAACGTCCACGCGAGGTCTCAACCTTAGCTCTCACGAAAAGCTAGATGTTGGAAAACTTGCCAAAGATGTGCAGGATAAAGTAGTATTGGTAAAAAGCAATCGCACTGCTGATTTAGAGATGGCTACGCGAATGGTAAGGCGCCATTTGTATAGGATGGCTTACTACAAGAAAAAACCTTGAACACTTTCGACTATTCATGGATTGCACCGGCATTGCATTTATGGCGCAATAAAAATTTGGTAGCGACTTTAGAATATCCTGTTTCTAACTCAATAGAAATTTGCCTTTAGGCTCTATCTTTCCAATTAAATAGAATTTTAATGACATTCATAAAGACGGGGTATTCAAGTTGAAATGTTTCAAACTTAACTTTAATTCGAACTATTTTGATGTTGGTAATGACGTTCCGTCGAAGTACGATGCTGCAGCATTGCCGGACCGAAATGCAGTATGGGATTGGAAAAAGTACAAATAAGGTCATGGCATGTTGCTGGTTTTTGTTCGTTTTTTTCTGCTCTTTCAGGTTGTTTTTCGAAAATAAAGTATTTAGCTATTTACCAGACAGGCCTCTCAACTTGTCGTACAATAAAGTGCGTCATTCAATGCTCTTCTAGAGGCCGACGACACAACCATCACATGCGATCTGCGCAAGTCATCAAACTTCGAAATTTGATTGGATTATTGATCGGATTTTCATAAAGCCTTCTTCGTATTTCTTTTGTAAACATGCTGGTCTTTTGTAATTTCCACAAGTCGATGCATTGTAATGCTGTCTGTTAATTTGGTTGGATCTGTTCCTTCTCGTGAGAAAGGAATGACGGTCTCAAAAAGCTGGAAATGCTGTGTTGTTATTCTGTCATCAGAGTTCGAGATTTGAATTTAATTTTGCATTAATCAACTGAAGTTTGAAAACGAAAATTAAAATGAAAAATCCAATAATGCATTGAATAACGAGCTATTCGGGGGCGCGCTTCATGTCTTTTGAATGTAAGCAAACGTTTTAAATCCCGTCTAATTCGGCCTTGAGAGATTTTCGACCTTTCACTGGAAAAGTTGATAAATATACATAATCTGTTAATTTACTGTAAATTACTCAAATTTAAAGACAAAGTGTCCTTTCACAAACTTAGTAAATTGATTTTACAAGATATTTACAATGTTTGATCGACCAAAAGATATTTCCAAAATGACATAAAATTTACAACGCTTGTAAAAGGACATTTTGTCTGTAAATTGAACTTACAGTATAATTTTATTCACAAACTCTGTAAACTACTGAGCTTTTTCCAGTATTTAGCTGAAAGAAAACTTCGTCCTCCATATTTTTTATAAGCCATCCGCCATCTTGATACTTCCATCAGTTCCATGATGCATTTCGGCAAACCAAACATGACGTCATTAGATCAAAAGAGCAGCGGAGGAGGTGGACTCGAGGAGCCCTTAATGGGAACCTAAGGAAAGAGGTTCTACTCGCCTCATAAAGTAGTAGATGATTAAGTTAGAATTTTTAATAATTTCAATTAACTGGAACTCGCGTTTCTGGATATTATAACATAATAGAAATCTGCAGCGACGCCATTTTGGAAATTAATGCTTGATGGGAGTTTCAGTCATGACCGTACATTTTTCATGTCCCCAAATATACTCCTAGTACGCCTTTTTCTCGTTCAAAGCGAGCAACCGCTGCTTTAGTGCACAACAGTCTCTCATGCGCAGAGACCTGACCAAAAACAAAAGAAAAAGCACGAAAAAAATGTTTTCATTATGATAGCTCTATAAATTTGCGTTTTCTCCGAAGCCTGTATTACAAGAAAGCTCAAACTCTAAAGCGGCGTTTACACGAGCAATTTTTCCTTGAAAAGTTTTCCTTGAGAAGGAGAAATTGCTCGTCTAAATGGGGTAAAATGCGGTAAAATGGACAATTTTTCCTTGTCAATTAAAAGCCAACATGTTCGCTTTTCCTTGACAAGGAAAAATTGTCAAGGACGAAATTTGCTCTTGTAAATGGACAACAAGAAACTGGTCAAGGAAAAATTGCTCGTGTAAACGCCGCTTAAGTCTTGTGGAATACAGGCTTATCCTCGGAGCAGATTCAAATTTCTAGAGCTATTGTAATGTCAACATTTTGTCGTGCTTTCTTTTATTCTCTATGCAAGTGAGTCCGTAGTGTAATAAAACAGCGGTCGCTCTCATTGAACGGGAAAAAAGCTGATACATTTTTTTCTTCTTTGCAAAAATGGCTGTGCCGTTTTTACACCAAAAACAAAACGGCTTTTGTGAGACAGTCGAAGAGTGCGAGACTAGCATCATGGCTTACAAAATGGCGTCGCTGCACATTGCAAATTTATTCTACGTTGTTAGGCTTTCTTAAAATTCACGGACCATTATCTGGTATAACAAGAGTTTTTTAAAGCATAAAGATTATTGTAACTGCTGCATGGAAAATTATTTTGTTGTACATGTAGTTAAGTTTCTTGTTAAACACAATTTTACTAATTCAGGGCCACAATTATATTGCATGTTGTTACCAAGTATTAAACAAGAGAATGAAGTCATTGCCTGTTTTGAAATTATTTGCGTTAAAAGCGACGATTTTGCCTTTGCACTTTGAATTCGTTCCAATTATTTTAATTTTTACGTTTAGCTGGTAGCGAGTTTTTTTTCGTACTTTTCAACTACTAATTGACACCAAGTATGACACCAAGATTGCGAAGCAATCGAAGAGTTATTGGAGGGGGTGAATCTGTCACTCACTCACTCACTCACTCACTCATTGATGTTTTTACTGTAGGCGATAATTAAACAGGGGGCATCGGTCTTTAGTCTTTTGTGAGTCAAGCTGATTCTATTTTACTGTTTTATGCAAACAGCTTCGCACTAGATCTTGTTTTTATGTCAGTAGTTCATTTAATTTATTTTATATCCCAAAAACGAAGAATTAATATAACTGTTTTCTCATTTAACTTTCTTCTAAAGCGCACATAGGCACCCGCGATCTGTTAGACTGCTGGTCAGCAGGTTTAATCAACAGGAGTTTCGTTCTGTGTTCTATAAAATAAGAACAACTGCATTTTCAAATCAAAAAACGCGAGGGTAAAAGTTAGCTTCACAAAAACTGTAGTAACTCTAACGATATAACTAAGTAAAGAAATGGTGTCGTTGACATAAAAAGTTCTCACTGAGTTTATGCACTTACGACTTTTCGAGGATTGAAATTACTAAACCATTCAAATTTGAACATCATCCATTTTGAAAATCGCGAACTAAAGGTGGCGCATAAATTAGGCATTATAGTGGAGTAAGGTATATTTCTTGGTTACTTTTACTGATACATTCATACAATTCTAATCCATGGTTGACCGAATAATACCAATTGAAACTGTTCCATTAACAAAAGGAAGCAATTTAACTGATCTCAATCGTAGAATTTCTGCATTTCAAGCAGCCATTTTCAAGGTTAAATAAGTGCATATGTTCGAATTTCTTCCTCAACCTTGTCACATATTGATATAGTTGTGCAAAAAGATGAATTTTAATCCGTATAAAAAAACATAAAAAACGTCAGACAAGTTCGTTCTCTCTTCACGCACAACTGTTTCTTTAAAAGCACCGACGCTTTTCAACATTGATGTAGTCGAATATAGTTAAATAGGCTTAAATAAAACTGAGACCAACTAGTGGTTCATGCTATCAGGAGGAGCCGATGAGTTCTTTTAAAATTACTGTTCGTGTATGAATTTTGTTTACATGTAAACACTTCAACATCTACACGAGTTAGTGTTGCTATAACAATGTTCACCTGGTTAGCAATACGTTGCAAACTGACTTGAAATAACAAGACCAAGGCATAGTTTATTATTTAACAAATAAATAAGGCTCAGCCGTGGTTTATACTCTCATAAACAACACTTTTTTGGCCAATCAGAGCGCGCGTTAGAAATCATCTATATAATAATATTAATTATACAACAATTTATTCATAAGTCTCACATCTAATAGACGTTGCATTCAGTTTAAAAGAACATGTCAATAATTTCATTAACCTTGGTGATAATTGTACAGTTTACCAACTGTGTTTAATATTCATCTATACTTAATTTTTGCGATGTTTTCAAATGTAATTTCTGATCTTGTCTCAGAATGAAATATTGCTCAGTCAAAACTTACAAAGATTGAATTAGATTAAAAGACTTCAACCAATAGAKAATTTACAGAATTCGGCTACTGGCTTGAAAACMASACGGTTGCATTATTTGGCATTTATCRAGCGGCTTGTTTTTTAAGCTCCACCACGACGTTTTGGTGAAAATAAGTTAGTGCAATTTAATAGAAACAGTTTTGCTGCTTCGCTGATAGAGCCAGACGCAAGAGCTGCACCAAGATGGATAACTCTTCACTGATACCAGACAACGCTACTAACAACAGCCCAGGATATTATTGCAAGTTCTGGGAACCTGACACACAGCTAGAGTATAATGCAAAACGCATCGCTGTGATACTGTTGATTACATTGGGACTTGCAGGAAACATCTTTGTCATAGTGCTCGCTATGAAATACACAGTACGCAAGAACCTGCATCATTAGATCATCAACATGGCCGTGTCAGATTCTCTCTTCATTCTTATGAATCTGATAGGTTCGATGTACTTCCTAACGCGCAACAAATTGTTTTCAACATATCCTGATGGTATCCTTGGTGATATTCGCTGCAAGACTGAGTGGTTTCTTTACCATGTCTCATATAAAGTCTCCTTGGTTATTCTTTTGATAATCAGCATCGAACGATTCATAGCAACAAGAAGGACATTGCAAAGGTTACGCTCTTACACATTAAGACAACGCGTGACAGTAATTGGCATCTCCTGGTTGATTCCTATCGCATTGGATTCTTACATTTTACATTTCTTTAATGTGATACCAGAAAAGTGGGATTGCATTATTATGAAGACAAAAGTCTGTTCTCAATTTTTTTTAAT